CAAATATTCAATATATTTTATTAGGATAGTGCCACAACATGTAGTACAGGGATGTGCAGTGAAGTCAGTGGCAGGGGCAGGGCCCCTGTCCTGTCCCTGCCCTGTCCCAGGCCCTGCCACCGAGCTCCTTGCAGAGTGGTCCCTGGCACTGTGACTCAGTCTGCAAGGTAGGAAGGGAAACCGCTCTACCTGTGGGCTGTGGGAGGAGAGAGGGAGGAGCCTCCCTGTCCATCACTTGCTCGTCACTGATGAGGCATCTAGATGGATGTCATCAGTGAGGGTTTTTTTCATTTTTTTTTATTGGACAGCTTGGACCAATGGTGCTTTGTCATTGGTCCAAACTAGGGATGTCCCGATATCACTTTTTCAAGACCAAGTACGAGTACTTTCCCTCAGATACCAATTACCGATACTTTTTCTTAAAGGGACATGTGACATTTTTTCTAAAACAATACAGACTAATGACTTTAGGGTAGTTTCTCACCATGCTGCTTCCAGATCTCACCAGAGCTGTGTACAGATCTCACCAGAGCTGTGTACAGATCTCACCAGAGCTGCGTCCAGGTCTCACCAGAGCTGCGTCCAGGTCTCACCAGAGCTGCGTCCAGGTCTCACCAGAGCTGCGTCCAGGTCTCACCAGAACTGAATACAGATCTCACCAGAGCTAACTACAGATCTCACCAGAGCTAAATACAGATCTCACCAGAGCTAAATACAGATCTCACCAGAGCTAAATACAGATCTCACCAGTGCTGAATACAGATCTCACCAGAGCTGAATACAGATCTCACCAGTGCTAAATACAGATCTCACCAGAGCTGAATACAGATCTCACCAGAGCTGAATACAGATCTCACCAGAGTTGAATACAGATCTCACCAGAGCCGAATACAGATCTCACCAGAGCCGAATACAGATCTCACCAGAGCCGAATACAGATCTCACCAGAGCTGAACACAGATCTCAACAGGCTGCGTACAGATGTCACCAGAGCTGAAAACAGATGTCACCAGTGCTGAATACAGATCCCACCACGATCCCACCAGGCCTGCGTACACATGTCACTAGGCCTGCGTCCAGATCCTACATAGATTGTACCTACAGTAAAATCTATTTCTGGGAGTCCCACCCTCTGAATTTTTTAGTTTTGTCCTGGTACTACTTCTTCATAAAACTGAGGCATGTTGGGTAGGGGAGAGGTTATATGTGAGATGGCTTACAAATTTTCTGTTTGTGTCTTAAACCTGCTAAAGGGGTCATTATACCCTGACACTTTGTGAATTCATGTGTCCCTCAGTGGACTCCAAGAAATACATTGTATGGTAAATACAACAATCTTATTTTAATCCAGAATTCAAATCATGTAAATGTGTTGATTTTTCAGTCTGTGCTATATGATAAACAAAGAAAAAAAAGAACACATTTTGGTTACTTATGTCTCTGTAAAATCAAACAGATAAGAACCTCCCCAAGAGTAATGCTATACAATGAACATGTGCAAAGATCTGTTCACATTCAGGCATGGAAAAAGATGTAGCTGTTCTCACTAGCAGCAGGGGCACTGGAGCACTTGGCGGACTTTTCATTGGGGTGAACCTATATGTTAAAGATGGTCTGCACCTAAATGGAAGGGGGGCTGCTGTGCTAGGGGAGAGGTTCATGGGAGGGTTGGAGGAGTGTTTAATCTAGGATTGAGGGGGGAGGGAGACATGGAATATAATGGGGCAGATACATCAAACAGGGGTCAGACTATAATAGAGGGTGGAAAAGGAAAGATAGGGGGGAGGGAAATCGAACTGGATAAGGAGATTCTCATGTTGCAAACATTTTAGATTATAGTACTAATTGTACTACAAACATATGACCGAGTGCCCGACTTTTTAGAGGGGGTGACACCAAAATAACTGTCAGTCATTTTGGTGTCACCCCTGCAATGGTATCAGCTGGGTTAGGGCCACACCCCACGCACCCCCCCTTGTGAAGCCACTGGCTATGTTGTGCGAGATTGTTCACTTCTCCTGCCATCTCCAAGCTCTTCACCCTTTTGTGAATAACCCTGTTAGACTTTTCAAAAGCGTTTGACACAGTTCCCACATCTGTATGTATAAGTTAAGGTCAGTAGGTATAGAGTATTCAATCTGTAATTGGATAGAAAACTGGCTTAAAGACCATATTCAGAAAGTGGTGATCAGTAATTCATACTCTGAATGATCTGAGGTTGTTAGTGGTGTACCCCAAGGTTCAGTGTTGGGCCCCTTGCTGTTTAATCTTTTTATAAATGAAATACTGGGCTATTCACAAAAGGGTGAAGAGTTTGGAGAAGGCAGGGGAAGTGAACAATCTAGAACAACATAGCTGATTTGGAAAAAATCTCCAATTCAGCTATGTTGTCCTAGATTGTTCACTTCTCCTGCCTTCTCCAAACTCTTCATTCTTTTGTGAATAACCCTGATAGATTTGGGGATTAAAAGTACTATTTCTGTGTTTGCACATGACACCATGTTATTTAGTGGAATACAGTCCTTACATCAGGGGCTGACTGGCAAATTTTAGCCCAGGGGGCAAGTACAACCCAGAGGCCCATGGTGCAGCAACTTGGCCCCCCTCCCGCTCTGCCTCTTCCCCCTCCTTCTCCCCGCCCCTGTCTGCCACTTTTGCCATCCATGTAACAGCAGTGTGAATGTATTTATCAGTTTAGGAAATGTAAAGCACACTGGTAGTGGAGGGATGCCTCGTCAGGGCTGTGAGCGTGCATGACTGCTGCGACTCTGGTAGTTCGGCCACTAAGTCAGAAATACATTGTACAGCATTGCAGAATGGCATTGGCTATAGAGAACTACAATTACAAGAACTACATTACACAACAATGCAGAATACCATCAGCTATAGCGGACTATAAATCCCAGCAATAATGACTACCAACAGCTATAGAGAACTACAATTCCCAGCAATACCTTTACACAGCATCAGCTATAGAGGACTATAAATCCCAGCAATACATTACACAGCAATGCAGAATAATATGAAGCTACATACTCTGTTGCTCTGGGTTCTCTGCCTGATGTCTAAAGGGTCTCAGGTGGGCTGTGCGGGCTCTCACCAGGGATCCAGAGAGTTTCACGGGTGCGTGTGTGTGCAGCAGAGGTGGCTCCCTAATTAGGCTCTCAGGTGGCCAATGCGGACCGCCAGGTGGTCAGTGCGGGCTCTCTGCTCCAAAACAAAAGGCTCCAGTGATGGACTACTAGTTTGTATTGAGATTGTAGTCCATCACAGGAGCAAGCTTGGAGCGGTGGAAATAAGAGAAAAAGTGTGGTGTGCAATATAGTGAAATGGAAAGTGTAAAATTATACAGCAATCAATGCAAAATGGCACCAGCTGTAGAGGACTACAAATCTCAGCAATACATTATACAGCGCAATACGGAATTCCACCAGCTTGTAGTCCTCTATCGCTGGTGGTATTCTGCATTGTGCTGTACAATGTATTATTGCTGGGATTTGTAGGCCCCTATACAGCGCAATGCAGAATACCACCAGCTATAGAGGACTACAAATCCCAGCAATAATACATTGTACAGCACAATGCAGAATACCACCAGCGATAGAGGACTACAAGCTGGTGGAATTCCGCATTGCGCTGTATAATGTATTATTGCTGGGATTTGTAGGCCCCTATACAGCGCAATGCAGAATACCACCAGCTATATAGGAGTACAACAAATGGCGGCTGTTATCCCCTCACACCTGCTCCTCCTTGCTTCTCTCTGCGTCCCTGTGCCGATCATGGATGTGGGCCGTGCGTGTGAGGATGTGCGGCGTGTGGATGCGGGCGGGTCTGGCAGCAGCAAGGGTGAGGCGGGGAGGAGGTGGGGCATGTGGATGAGGGCGGGTCTTGCAGTGGCAAGCATGAGGCGGGAAGGAGGTGCGGCATGTGGAGCATGGATGCGGGCGGGATCGTTCGTTCATGCATGTGTCATACACTCTAGGGGGAGTATGTTTGGGGGAGTCAATGATGGAGAAAGTTTTGGGGGTTCTGGTAGATCATAGACAGCATGCAATGTCAAGCTGCAGTTTCTAAAGCAAGCAAAATACTTTCTTGTATTATACGGGGTCTAGACTCCGGAGATAGAGACATAATCCTGCCCCTGTACAAAGCATTAGTAAGACCTCATCTGGAATATGCAGTTCAGTTTTGGGCACCAGTTCACAAAAAGGATGTTGTGGAACTAGAGAAAGTGCAGCGAAGGGCGACTAAACTCATAAGAGGCATGGAGGAGATCAGCTATGAGGATGTACACTATGCCAAGTGCCATTATGGGGTGCTAGGCTGTGTAGAGAGGTGATGGTATGATTGTGACCCCTTTTGTTATTTATAGGTCTGGACCTTGCCACTGATCATTTTTACCCTCTATTATTTCATCTTCCCTGTAAAATGTTATTGACCTCAATTAATAATCTAATAACAATGGTCTTTCTGGTACTCAAATCTCAGCCTGATAAGAGCCAGTGTCTAAGGTATTTGGGCTTGTATTGATGTCATCAGTTTGACACTAGTTTGAAATGCTTCTAAGATCATTAAAAATTTAATGACAGGTACATCTGTCCTGCAGTTGACCTCCTTCTGACCTAAATTTGATCTGCTTAGAGTGGGTTTTGGATCTTGCAAAACTCATCCGACACAAACAAAAGCCTGTCTACACAGACCGCAAAAAAAGCAGAAGCCAAGTTCCTAAAACTTGGTATCCTTTGAGATTAGGAAAAGTCTTTTTTTCTTAAAATAGATCTGCTACTTGCCAATTACCTTTACATCTGTTTATTAACAGTTTTAAAGGTCCAAACATTTAAAAAAATTGTGTGAATGTGAAATTTAGGTTTATAAAAAAATGTGTTTCAGCAATGAGCATTCATTTTGCAAAAGTAAATTTTTGTTAAATTAAATATCTTTTCAATTTTTCATAGCTAACAGAAAATCTTTTTCTTGCAATTGTGTATGCTGTAACCATGAACAAGATCCGTCCTCGATATGCAGTTGACAGGTTAACATACTCGCTAGACATTTTCAATGAGGAATATGAAAAGAAGGATCGCACTTATCCTGTTGGCGGGAAAGCCCGAAAAATATTCAGGTAATGTCTAACTTGAATATGTACAGTATGTTAATGGATTTATGAAGGCTTATTAGGGTGTTCTTCAGATTACACAATCTTCAGGTTCTTCTGACATATCTGAGAAATAAAATGGAGAGATTTCCTCAACTCCCCTATTTTTACAGTAAAGATAACCTTTTCTTTTTTTAATCCTTTATAGTAATAATAAGAATACTAATGCTAGGCAAGAGAGTATCCAAATGTAACAACATATCAGTTTGAGCAGGGACATGCAGTCAGGGGAGGCAGGTGAGGCAGAGCCTCACCTAGTATTATGGAGGAAAAATCAGTCAGCTTCAAGTCTGAGGCTCAAAGCTTGTTCTCCATTCAGAGTGGCTCTCAGCCCAATCCTTAAACACTCCCTGAAGGTGTGGGACGAAGTTCGGTACTCCGGCAACCTGATGTTGCCTCATCTCCCTTTACTACCCTGGCTCAACTCTCCATTATTCCCCCCTGGTGTCAGTGACCCTCATTCGTTCGCTTGGTGGTCTCGCAACGATCTGACCACTGTTCACTCCCTAATCTCGCTCTCGGGCGTGAAGTCGTTCCAGCAGCTCCGTGCCAATAGATCCATCCCCTTTCGGGAATGGTTCCGGTACACCCAAATAAGCCACTTTATTAATTCGCTCCTGAAAAACACCTCAGCTCCATCGAGAATGACCCTATTCGAGCACTGCTGCAACTCAGATCCGCACGCCCCAGGTGTCATTTCTTTGATCTACTCTTCTCTGGTGACCTCCGCATCTACCACCCTTGCCCCCTATCAGCGTCAGTGGCATGAGGTACGAATTTTCCTGAAATTCGTAAATTCGGAAGCATCCGAAATCCGAATTGCAGTTTCCGAATTATATCCGAAATACGAAATTCCGTTAACGAATTTCGGATCCGAATTTCATTGGAACAGGAACTAATATTACCCCTGTAAATGAGGTTGAACAACATGACAAGATTTTTTTTAAAATCCGAAATACGGTTCCGCTGCTGCTGAGGGTTGCATTACAATACAGGAAGGAAATACAAAATTCCGCTGACGTATTTTCGTTCCGTTACGAACATTCGTTATATTGAAGTTAAAAAGCAAAGTACATTTCTATTGGAGTTGATGGTAGTTTTTTTTTTAAATCCGAAATTCGGATACGGAATCCGTTAACGGAATTCATATTTCGTTTTGGTTGACCAATAAGAGGTTTTCTCTTCTGCTGCTGAGAGTTGCATTACAATACAGGCAAGAAATAAGAAACTCCGCTGACGTATTTTCGTTCAGTTACGAACATTCGTTATATTGAAGTTAAAAAGCAAAGTACATTTATATTGGAGTTGATGGTAGTTTTTTTTTAAATCCGAAATCCGAAATTCGGATACGGAATCCGTTAACGGAATTCATATTTCGTTTTGGTTGACCAATAAGAGGTTTTCTCTTCTGCTGCTGAGAGTTGCATTACAATACAGGCAAGAAATAAGAAACTCCGCTGACGTATTTTCGTTCAGTTACGAAAATGTGACGAAACTAACGAAAATTCGTATTTCGTACGAATCCGAATTGAGTTTCGGATATGAAATACGAAATAACGGATATTCCGGAACGAAACGGAACAAATGTTTTGACGGCGCACAAGTCTACTGTGTATTAGTGCCTTCACTCCGCACACTTACCGAAAACGGTGGATCATTTAATAAAGGTGGTCAGACAGCACTCTCTTTCTCTTATTAGCCTCCGCACCGATTCACCGACACTGAAAGGTGGTTTTGTCCAAACAGCTAGTCTTGTTATATGTAATTACATAGCTCAGCAGGAAGACAGAAACATCACATAGTAAAAAAATCCTTTTGACAATTTATTAACACCAGTTAAAAAAACTTGCATAAAACATATGACAAACACCGTACACTATAAATACAGCCCTCCTCAGCTTCTGGTACCATCCAGCGGTCCCTCAGCTTCCCCTCCAGATAAGACAGGCAAGAAAGTTCCCCCCTTCCTGGTATCAGGTGTAACAAGCATACCAAATGTAGCAGCAACGTGTACATGCCCAACCGATGCATTTCGTCATCAGTTGACTTCTTTCAAGGGCGGTGTGCACGCTGACTCTATTCCTTGTTTGTTTTATAATCCCCAATGCAACATTTAAAACAACCACTAGATGCCCTCACTGCCATATATAAAGGTAATATTTAAAATTTCCACTAGATGTCCTCAATCGAAAGATGATGATGATGGATGCCCGCTTCAGGGAGACTTACACAGATCTCCAACCTAATTAACCTTAAAAATACTGGTTCCTGCAGAAAAATCTCATACTCTAATCCATAGATATTCATAAAGGGAGGGAGCTTTATTAAAAGAGGGAAAAAGACTATATAAAATCTATGTCAAAATGTCAAGAAGTGAAAAAGCACTGAATAAATATTATACCTTTTTTTTTACCCCCCTTTACTATTATTCAAAAAGGAATTAATATATAATTCTATATTAAGGCCCTTAGGTTGCACGGTGTCCAGGGTAAATATCCATTTAGTCTCGTTTTGAAATATCATCCTTTTAAGTTTGGAATCTCTGCAGCGTCTAGAAACTCTATCAACACCAAAGAAGACCAACCGCGTCGGATCTTTGTTGTGGAATTGTTTAAAGTGCCTCAACATGCTATGGTGCTCAAATCCTTTCTGTATATATTTGTAATATGTTCCTTTATTCTAATCCTCAGTTTCCTAGTTGTTCTATCCACGTACTGGAGTCCACAAGGGCACTCCAGCATGTAGGTCACATATGTCGTATAACAGGAAAGAAATTCCTTAATCTCAAAATGTTTACCATTTACCCAGGAATGCAAAATTAAAAAAAGCCAATCCCCCGAATAATGTCTTTATCTTTTCTGGGGGATTTATTAAATTATTTACCATTTTATCCCTCAATGCAGGTGCTGTTCCATAGATAACCAGGGTTTCCCTGAGATCAGGGAAAATCCCCCAATGTTTTCTCAAATTCCTTTCCAAATCCTTATATTGAGCTGTAAAAGCAGAGGCAAAGGATCATAACCTTTCTCTTTAAATCTTCTCTCTTAAAACTGAGCCTGTTCCATATATTTTGAATCTAATGTGCAGTTTCTTTTTATCCTAATAAATAGACCATTGTGTATGTTGGTAATCCATTTGGGGTGATGGCAACTCCCCCTCTGGATGTATCAATTTCTATCCATGGGTTTAAAATACATTCTGATACGTATCCTTCCCGCCTCTTTGAAAATAAAGAGGTCCACAAATTGTATTCCTTCTTTGATATTTTTGGGAAATGTAATCCCATATGTGTTAAAATCTATACTGTTAAAGAAAATATTCAAATATACATAGTCTCCTCCCCATACTACCAAAAACAAGAAAACAAAGAATCAATCCTTCACATTGTTTACCAAATACTAATTCCTCCTCCCATTTAGCCATAAACAAATTTGCTGGGAGCGAACTTAGCCTACATAGCAACTCCATTCTGTTGTAAACAGAAGTCACTATTATACCAGAAATAATTTTTAGTTTCTCACTATACCCCAAAGTAAATCAATTCAAACATATGCTTCACCCCCTTTAATAGTACTACAAAACACATTTTGTGTGGGGTTTTAAGAGGCATACTCCATTGCATTTATTTAAAAGGTCTATTATTTGATTAATTCCAAACAGCTCTTAGTAAAAATACAATAGGTAAATAAAAAAACAATTGATAGTATCCCCTTCTATTTCAATTTGCCTCCTGCAGCCACATTTATACTCAGTTGGTATGCTTCTCAGTAGACCAGAGACAACTTATCTAGTGTAAACCGTTAGGGTGTCAAGATAGGCGCGGGTCCTTTCCAACAGAGGAAGGACACATTGACCTATACCTCTCCCCCTAAAGGATTTGCGGTAGGAGCATAGGAATAAAAATGAGGAGAATCCCACTCTGCTTGTATGCTCTATAGGTTGTTGTATAAAATCACCTCCAAACAAGCAAGAGGACCACTGCGGCATCTGATGAAATGTGAAAGGGTGCCTATAGAGGGAGGACCTATGGTAGCAATTGTTTAAAGTTTATATTGAGGTGTATAGAGTTTGCCATGTCACCTTCAACCTGCTCGTTTCGGTTCACCATGTTAATTGCCCAACGGACAGCCTGAATTCCCAAATGGTGTTGGATGCTGGTATACAGCAATACCACATCAATGGTGAAAAACAACAGATCCCCTTTACAGGTGATCTTTAAGTGGATGTTAATAACGTCTTTACTGTCTTTTAGGAAGGCCCTAGTTCCAATCACCATAGGTTGAAGAAAAGTGTTGATATATTAACCTATCAAATACAAAGAAACATTGTGCTATCTCCCCGTTATAGATCCACTCCGCCGAATAATCAGCGGAGGAAATTAGTGTTTAAATATAAAGCTTAAAGTATCCCAGTGACACCAGAATAAGCATGCAATTACCACATCTATATAAAAAAGTGTCTATATTTATTTCCATTTTTTTCATTACAAAATGGCAAAAAAAATCCAGCTTACGGCAAAAATGAGAGAATCTGTTGGTCATTTGTGCAGGAATTCTTTACACTTCCTAATAACACACTACAATCACTAATTTTACAAAAGCATCTGCTACCTTCTCTTTTAATTCAAGCAACATTATCACATTTACCACAGACAACACAACATGCATTCCACAAGTTCACTAACTCTTAATAAAATAATTTCATTATTAGCTGGCTAAAAACAAAATTCAAGACTACACACAGAGCTCAACATTTCGGTATGCATACTTATGTGACTGCAGTAACAACTATCTGAGCACCAGCACAGGCCCTGTTCTCTCCTGATGCTGTCTTCAGCTCATCTATTTCACAATGCAAGAGAACAACAATTACAGCGCCAGGACAGGGCCACTCGTCACCTATCGCGGTCTTCTGCTGATTTCTTCCATTTCTCAAGCAATCAAAGTTTTTAAATCCTTGCCGGGGGTTCGCAAAGCACACACAGTGAGTTTAAGCAACAGACTGTCTGCCCCCTTTTCTATATTTATTTAGTTTAAATGAAACATTCTTCTTCTTTCCTATGTGTACACCACATGAAAACCCACTATACTGCCACCACTGTTTACTAGATGTAAAAACTTTTCGCTCTATAAATTAGAGAATGGCAAGAAATAAAATGAACAAATAAGAAAACAAGTTGAGAAATGTAGTGCCATTGCCACTCTTTTACAAACTACAGTAAATGACAGACTTTTGAGAGTATACATTCACAGTATACTGTATGCAATGCCTTATAAATCACATTAATATTTTTCCTTTAAAATGCATGCATGAGAAATAAAAAATAATCCCTGCTAAGAGCTACCACTGACTTCCGTTTAGCTTGCCTATTTTGTGATTACAACTATGCGTAATCAAAAACTGCTGTAACCAGGTTGTGTGTCTGTAAACAGTTAACTCATACGCATAAAATAACCAATCTTTAACACTATATATTCTCAACCTCTTACTTTTTTTTGTAGCTGTTCTACAGCCAAATTTAAAGCTCTGATACTTGGCCTCTTTCCTATAATCACCTGGGTGCCCAAATATAACATAAAGGAATATGCACTTCCAGATGTGCTTGGTGGCCTAAGTGCTGGCACTATACAGGTACCACAAGGTTAGTAATACATGTATTGCACATTGAGACAGTCAATGACTTTGGAAAAAAAGATGTTGCCATTTTTTTCTTTCTTTTTGATATAGGTATGGCTTTTGCTCTTCTTGCAAACCTTCCACCGGTAAATGGCCTGTACTCTTCCTTTTTTCCGCTTGTGACGTATTTCTTCTTGGGAGGAATTCCACAGATGGTACCAGGTATGATATTGCTGACATGTATGAAATTTGAGTTACTTATGTAAACTTATTATATTATTAATTTCTCTGGAAATTCTTGTTTTTAAAGGTACCTTTGCGGTCATTAGCATCATCGTGGGAAATGTGTGCATGCAGCTGGCTCCAGAATCTAATTTTCAGATGTTAAATGAAACTACAAATATAACTGTTACGGACACAGAGAAAATGAATGCAGCCCGGATGCAAGTTTCAGCCACACTGGCATGCTTAACAGCTGTTATACAGGTAAGTGTGGTAGTAAACTCTGCTTCTGGAAGCTGCACTATTGACTGGAAACCCCTCAATGTTGATGGAGGAGGATTCCGCAGACATTACAGCTGGCTACAACTGTATCCAACATTTCTGTAATGTTTCACATCTCACCGGATCCCAAGCACAAGTGAAAGTCCAGAATTGCCCCGTCAAAATTAATCAATTTTCACAAATCACACCTGCCAAACATTTTTTCATTCTGTACCACTCCCTGATCAATTGGTTGGCTCAAACTTGTCATGTTAGGTGGCAGATAACATACAAAAATTAACAAGCTCTTCTGCAGGAGAATGTGCACGACAGTTATCCAGGAGCAACAGAACTTTACTATTCTCTGGTATTCCTTCCTTTCGTAAATTGTCTTTATCAATGGGGACAAATAAATAATGAGACCACTTGGTAAAACCTTCTGTGTCCATCCAATTGTTTCTCTGCACATGATAATCTACAGGAAGGTTAGTTATGCCATTAAAGTATGGATGCACGGATTTTCTCCAGACCGAGTACGACTAATGATTCTTTTCCTCAAGTACTTGCCTATACCAATTACCTTTTTTTAGTGTCATGTGTCAGTTTTTCTAAAACAATATAGACTAATGATTTTAGGACAGTGGTGGAGTGCCAGGGCCCAGTCAGAGCTGCAACCACTGCGACATTGCTAGTTCTGCCACTGACACCAGGCTATAGAGGGACTTCAAATCCCAGCAATACATTATACAGCAATACAGACTACCACCAGCTATAGAGGACTACAAATCACAACAACAATACATAAAGAACATAGAAAGGCAGGAAAAGTGAACAATCTAGGCAAAAATAGCTGATTTGGAAACATTCTCCAATTCAGCTCACTTTCCAGTTCCGCTATGTTTTCCTAGATTGTTCACTTCTCCCACCTACTCCACACTCTTCACCTTTTGTGAATAACCCTGTTAGTCTTTAAACACAGGGAGGACACACAAGACAACGTATCCCACCACTGCAATCTATAGCAAAAATTAGCACAGTTTAGCACATACATCTCTAACATATCCCTATATAGCCTCCAACCGCTCCAACAAACACTGAAAACATGGCTACTGTGGCTTTACTCACTGGCTTCTTGTACACCAGTAGCATGATATTCTGCAAAATTTCTCAGGCTTAGGTGGTTCAACTTTTTAGTTTAAAGAATATACTACCTTTTCAGTAACTATTTATTGGCTTCCTTTATTTCAGATTGCTCTGGGCTTTGTACAGTTTGGATTTGTTGCTATATATCTCTCTGAATCCTTTGTCCGTGGTTTTATGACAGCTGCTGGCTTGCAGATCCTTCTCTCTGTGCTCAAATATATATTTGGAGTCACCGTTCCACCATACAGTGGCCCTCTGGCCATTATATATGTAAGTCAGCCTTTAACTTTCTTGCCCAGGGGTCAATAAAGAGTAGATACCTAGGCCAATTTTACCAACATCAGTATGATTTAGTTAACTTAATAACGTTGACTAATATGAGTATTTCCTTTATTTTGTAAGGGCATATAAGGCTTTTAATTGGTACATTGTTTTTTTTACAAAACTGCTTTGATTTTAATATAGGCTTATAAGTGAATACAAATGTAAAAAAATAAAAATAAATAAAATGTTTTCATTCATTATAATTCATTTTTTAATATTTATATTACTACTGTTATATCTGGCAGTTACAATGTTAAACAAAGACACATTGCCATCTTCAGACCTATTTTTTTAAGGAAGCCCTTAGCCTGCATGTGATCCCTATATCATTGATGACACAGCGATCACATGATGATCAGGAACCATTCCAATCCCAATTGTTATTGAGGTTAAAAGATGTCAGTGACAGCTGGGTTAGACAGTTTGTAGCAGCACACAGTGTTGGATACAAACGGTCTTAAGGGGAACATAGATTAACCTTGCCTCAGTAGGAGACTTCGGGCAAGGGAGAGTTAATGTACAGCGGTAGTGCTGCGCAAACTGATGGGGCTATATAAATATGTATAATAATAAATAGAAAAAAATATATTTGCATAACAATTCAGATTTTTTTTTACCCGTGTTTCTTTCTTCTTGCAGACATTTATAGATATCTGTAAAAAATTGTCACAAACCAATGTGGCATCTTTAGTGTTTGCTTTGGTCAGCATAGTGCTGCTAATCATTGTGAAGGAACTGAATCTCAAATATATGCATAAGATCCGATTTCCCATCCCCATGGAGATTATCATCGTAAGTGTCGCCAAGAAGGTACAAATAAGGTGGATATTTATAAAGCAGTGAGTGTGACAGTCATTCATTGAGGAAGAAGAGTTACCAGCACACCATCTTCTTCATGAATTAAAACACCTTTATTGACATCCAATGTATGTAAAGCTGCACTCAACAGCCAGGATTGCGATGTGGTTTATTCTACAATGGGTTAATCTATAAAAAAAAAGGTTTATTCTACAATGATTTAATCTATAATGTTACAAGCATGACCTTTATTGACATCTTGAAATAAACATATCACAGGAAAAGTTGTGACGCTTTGGGGCACAGCAGGGACCCCTTCATCAGGCTATGTCATACAGTGTAAAAGAAAACCACATTTAAATACACCAGTGAAGACCAAGGAACCAATTACAAAATTAAACAAATATTGAAAATAAGTCTCCGAACCCCTTCTGACATCATGATAGCATCACGTTTCTGCCATTTACAATAAAAATAATCTCTATGTAAGATCTGCAAGGAAATCTCTAAATATGGCTGCTAAGGAATATCACTCATGTGTCAAATGAACATATCTGGTAACCTGCTCACCTCTGAAGCAAAAGGGTCTGCTGTGTGGAGCAACGTAACATTTGTCCTAGTCCTTGTTGTCAAGGGGATCAGGATGCTACATGGATCGCTACTGGGTCAGATTAGCAAAGTGTGTACATCCCAACGGGCGTTGACGCACCTCACTCATGTGCCTCTAATTGGCTGCCTGTCTGCTATGAAGTACCACCATCAATGTCTGCATAATGAGGCAGGTCCATCATATGTGCCAGTGCCTGTGTAGTAAAGCCAAAGTTCACACATGCACAGTAGAGAAGGCACGTAATGCTAGCCAGGTGCAAAGCCTTCATGATGGAGAGACAGGGGTGTGTCATTGGGCTTTGAAAATAGCAGTGACTATCTGCCACTGTAATTGAGTGTCTGGCATGACTCATCATTAATCCAAAGGTTACAATACACATATGTAAAAATTGTGTATATACATTTGTGAACAATAGAGTGTCAAACATTATTTAGGGTCAGCTAGAGCCGAAGCTTGTGCAACACAAATAGAACCTACAACATACAGTCAGCCAAAAGTAGAAGATCTATATATCCAAAATAATATATCATGTAAGTTTAAGTAACCCATAACTACTCACAACTGCCCAAAACTGAACTATATATTCCAGCGGAGGTCTTACTTATACTTGGTACAGGGGCAGGATTCTGTCTCTCTCTCTGGAGTCTATACCCTTTTTAATACAAGAAACCCATGTGTGCTTTTGCTGAACTTCACCAGAGCACACATTTGTGTGTATTGTGATTAGTTATGGGCTATTTATACTTACCTGGTATTTTATTTTAGCTATATGGATCTTCTACTTACCACCCCTGACGCCTGCAAAATAAGGCATCGGGGGTGGTACTTCATAGCAGACAGGCAGCCAGTGGGCGGCACATGAGTGAGGTGTGCCTCTACCCGTTTGCAATGTACACACTTTGCTAATTTGACCCAGTATAGATCCGCATGGTGTCCCGGTCATGATGGTAATGATGATCGGGACAGATGTTACATTTCCCCACACAGCAGACCCCTGTCCTGCTTGCAAGGTGAGCAGGTTACCAGATATTTTTATTTGACATATAAGTGACAGTCCTTAGCAGCCAATTTAGAGATTTCTGTGCAGATATTACATAGAGATTATTTTTATTGTGAATGACACAAATATGATGCCATTATGATGTCAGAGGCTTAATTTTTAATATTTGTGTATTTTGTTATTGGTTCTTTGGTCTTTAATGGTGTATTTAACTTGTTAAATCTTAAAGTGACAGTAAACTTAGGATTTAAACCTTAAAAATACATTCAAGTACCTTAACGATTAACAAAAATTTAGCTTATTTGTGTATCACTCTGTAGCTGTAGATCCTCAAATCATCTCTGAATTGGTGCTGGCACTGTTCTTCCTTCTGAAGGGTGGCAACTTTTGTTCCCCATGGCCCCTGTGTGTTGTAAAGTAGCCACCCCTACAAGCTTGCTCCTATGATGGACTACAATCTCAATACAAAATACCTAATTAAACATGAGATTGTAGTCTATCACAGGAGCGAGCGAATTCCATGAGGAACAAAAGTAGCCACCCTCCAGAAGGAAGGACAGTGTCAGCATGAATTCAGAGTTGATGTGATGATCTATGAAGGGGACCCTGCATGGCACCAAAATGTCGCAACTTTTCCTGTGAAATAATTATTTCAAGACATCAATAAAAGGCATTTTTATTCATGAAGAAGACAGTGTGCTGCTCACTCTTCTTTCAATGTTGTTTCTGGCGGCACCAACTGCCAGTCATTTCAGCACGCCCTCAAGAATCAAAGAAAATATACTGTCAGGTGTGCAATGGGCCACCTCCACTACTCAGTCATTCAGTTAGGCGAGTTTATCAAAACTAGAGCATACGTAATCTGGAGCATTTGCCCATGGTAACCAATCAGCTTTTCTCTTCAGTTTAACTTTGAAAGTGAAAGCTAGAAGCCGAATGGTTGCCATGGGTAACTGCTCCATTTTCTGTCCCCTTCAGTTTTGATTAATTCCCTGCATTGTTTTTATAAAACACAATCACTGGGAAGGTTCACCTACACATTCACTGGATCAAGCAACAGTAACTGACAATCATAAACATCTGTTCAGTTGAAAAAAGTACTTACTGTACTTTTCAACATTACTATTTAAATCTTTACTTTGCACATTCACCATGGTAAATCTTAATTTTAAAATGATTTTAAAGTTTCAGAATTACAGAATCCAAAATCCACCTTGGGAAACTGTAGTTATGTCATCCTTGTATCCTTAATATTACTTGTAATAGTAGTAAAAACAGATACAATACAAAACCATAATTTTAGGGGCTTTTTGGTTAAACACATATACGCATAACCATGAAAATGGTTTATAACAACTATTTTTTTTAATCTCTTGATCATACATTACAGTACACAGGCAATTCATAGACAACTGGGTAATATGCTGGTGTCTATAGCTTGGATATATGTTTATTTTTCTCACCTGAGAGAATGTTTAGTCTTACCTTACAATGTCTAAAATCACATTTCTTTGACTGCACATGGCCACCTGGGCATAGGTCCAGTTTCTGGATAGGCGCCCCATGGCAGGAGCTTCAGGGGCCGTACCCAAATCCTGCATGGACAACGACCGAAGATGCAGGGCCGGCCTGTAATGTTGCTTTAAGCACTGGATCCTGTGTGGGTGTCCACCATGACTTGCACGGTCCGAGTATGGCCCCTGAAGCCCCCTCTGTGGCACACCTATCTGGAAAATGCACCTTAGTTAAGGTGGCTGTGTGCAATTGAAGAAATTTGATTTTAGACAGTGTAAGGTAAGACAAAATACATTCTCACAGGAGAGAAAGAAGCATGTCCATACCCTAAGAACACTGGCAAAAAACTGAGGATTTCCTGAAGTGGGAGGGGTTATATGAGGTCACAGCTCTTGGCAGTTTCCATTTGCCTGATGATAGCAGAGAGGGCTTTGTGGCCACTATATATGTGTTATGGGTTGTTGTCCACCTTGAGGCCTTGTGTGCATGGGCCGTCTGCGTTGAGTGCAGATGGCGTTATCTGGAAAGTATAAATGTGTTTAGGTGCATTTACCTGCATAAAACCAGGCTGAACAGTCCCCGGGATGCAGAAAATTCTTGTTTGTGTAAACTGAGCCAGGCTGAATGCACTCTTTGCATTCAGACATGAAAAAGCATTGCATGCTTCTAGGTGCATTTGGATGTAAGCTTAACCCCCCTCTAGAGTCAGTTTCAGATGCAGTTTGCTATGGCATTTACACCAAATGACGTGGAGGAAGGGGGCATTGATGTGGAAGTACGTACCTCAACTGGTTTAGGGAATTATAGACCGGTCAGCTTAACATCCATAGTATGCAAGTTATTTGAGGGTATGATAAAGGACCGTATCCAAGAATATGCTTATGGTCATGATATCATAAGTGACAATTAACATGGCTTCAGGAAAGACTGTTGTGTCAAACTAACCTATTGGGGTTCTGAGGAGGTTAGTGGCATCCTAGATGGAGGAAGGAAAGCCAGTGGACCTTGATTTTGCAAAAGCATTTGATACGGTATCTCATATATGTTTAATTTACACGTTTCAATCTTTGGGCATTAATGAAATGGTGTGTATTTGCCTAGAGAACTGGCTAAGTGACCGTGTCCAGAGAGTATCGATAAATTACTCTTTTTCCGAATGATCCTTGGTTGGAAGTGGGATGCCCCAGGATTCCGTCATGGGGCCATTGCTATTCAAACTTTATATCAACGATATTGGGATTGGGATTGATAGCAATATTTCAGTCTTTGCTGATTAATACCAAAGTTTGTAGGGTAATAAACTCGACAGAAGACATAGAAGAAATTTTACAGGAAGACCTGGATAAAATAGGGGGTGGGCATCGGCATAACTGATGAGGTTTAATATTGAGAAGTGTAATGTTATACATTTTGGAGTTAAAAATACATATGCAAACTACTTATTACTGGGCATCCCACTCTGGGAATCAGAGGTGGAAAAGGGATTTGGCAGTCCTACTGCAAAAGAGCCCTAGTAATAACATGCAATGCAAGGCACCAGTAAATAAGGCAAGCAGGGTACTATCATGCATAAAATGGGGATGTACTCTAAAGACAAATCCATAATTCTCCCCTATACAAAACACTAGTTCAGCCACATCTTTTACTTCCCTCCAAAAAAAAAGTTTGAGGCAGGAATACCCCTTGGAGGAGTATTCCTCAAGAAGTGGGTTGTGCTGGAGGTAAATGCTGTAATCTATTGCCTTAACAAATCTCTCTCTGTTTTAGTGGAGGATGTCCTTGCCTTTAAAGACCCAGTGGATTAGCACTTAGGAAGCCTGTTGAAGGCTCCCTTTGTTCTGCTTGGGCCTACACCGCAGCCAGTGGTGACTTTGATGAGGGTATGTCAAACTCTAGCAATCTGGACAAAGCAGAAGGTGCTGGATCCTAGTTCCATTCTGACAGGTTCTAATCTTTTGGGGTGTCTTGAGTAATTACCAAGAGAGTTACGCTGTTCCGTGGATGGTTTGGCTAACACCCTACTTAAGCTCTCAAGGCTAGAACCTAGTTGGCAGAACCAGCATGCAAGAGACACTAGGAGAGCATTCCATTCACAGGAGAGCATCGATTAGGGAGTGCTTGGATGCTTTCATTAAGAAGGTCACAGGTGGAAGAAGTACGCAGCAAGTTGAAAGCCAAGGCTCCAAAAAGGTAGTTCTGGATAAGGACCAGCTAGGAAGAGTTCCTTTGTCCCTCTCAGGCCTCCACCTCCAGGTCTAAGATGGCCCCACAGCTCTGGTCCCTCCAAGGTTGTGAAATCTGGTACCGAGCCCTCCTCTCCATGAGGGAGAACCTCCATTTGTAGAAGTGGGGGCATCTTTGTTCCCCTTTGCAGTCATCTGGGACTGTGAAATCCAGGGCATGTGGGATCAGAGGGTTCTCCTCCAATCTTCTGCAGGTACGGAAGTTCTGTACAGAATCGGCTCACTTCATTATTGCCTCCCTCCTGCAGTGAGATTTCTTTGCATCAGTGGGCATTAAGGATACCTACTTGCATGTGCCGATTGTCTCTTTTCATCAGTGCTGTCTATGTTATGCTTGGGAAACAATAACTTTCAGGCTCTACCCTTTGGCCTGTCCACGGCTTACCCCCCTCCATTTTTGAGGTTTTCACATTGTGGATTATCTGTTTTACCTTCTCCTGAAGGTTTAGTCCGAACAGACCCTAAAGAAGGATGTCCACAGGACTATTCAAACATTTTAACTGTGTGACTGGGTCCTAAACCTCTGGAAGTTATTGCTGGAACAGATCCATTTGTTAGCCTTAGTTCCTAAGGTTCCAGGGCAGGATATTTCTTCCCCAGAAAACTTTGCTGACTCTGCAGTCCCAGGTATGGACCCTTCAGTCCAATGATCAACCTTTCTTAGGATGTGCGATAAGGGTTTTGAGACTGATGATTGCCTTCTTTGAGGTGGTTTCCTACACTCAGTCCCAATCAAGACTACTACAACTGAGCATTCTGACAAGCAGACTCCTTCTCTAGACCTCCCCATCCATTTGTCAGCTGAGGCAAGGATGTCATTACCATGGTGGATTTCTGATCCGGCAAGGGATCTGGGAATTTCTTCTCAGGATTTTAACGGTCTAAGTCCCCTACTCACTGAGGTAATTCAGGCAGTTGAACAATGTTTGGGAGTTTAAAGCAAACTTTCCTTTCCCTTCATCGGTTGGGTCAATTGCAGGGCCTACTGGTTAGTGTTCAGTCCGACAATGCCATGGGTGTGGCATGCATCAACCACTAAGGTGGAACCAGAAGCCATGCTGTAGAGCAGGAAGCAGATCTGATTCTGTCTTGGGTAGACCCTCACGTTCCAGCCTTAAGTATGGGGCACATTCCAAGACTGCACAATTGGCAGGCAGATTTCCTCAGTCAACAGAGCTTAGCCTCGAAGGATTGGTCTATTCCCCATAGTATTTTAGGAGATCTGCTGATATTGTGGGATGCCACATATAGACCTCTTGATGTCCAGACTAAACATAAACCTGGACAGGTTTGCATCCTGCATCCAAGCACATTCATAGGTACATAGTTAGTCAGGTTGAAAAAAGACACATGTCCATCGAGTTCAATCTATAGAGATATGAAAAAAAAAAAGAAGAAAAGCCTAAACAGAACACTGTGCCCACAATTACCCACTGTTGATCCAGAGGAAGGCAAAAAAACCCTATAAAACATGGTTCAATTTGCTTCAACAGGGGAAAATATTCCTTCCTGATCCCATAAGGCAATAGGATATTCCCTGGATCAACAATCTCTGGTGCTTAATTTACCTATAAGAACTCAATATCCAGTAATATTCTGTGCATTAGGAATACTTCCAGATTTTTTTTTTTTTAAACGGTTAACTGAGCTCGCTAGAACTAGCTCTCGGGTAGAGTCTGTTCAACATTTTTACAGCTCTAACTGTGAAGAATCCTTTCCATATGCAAAGGTAGAATCTATTTTCCTCCAATGAATGCTCTGGGATCAGTTCTTCCTGCTTTATGCCTTCTGTCTGAAGATTCTTCCTCATCTGCTCTGCAGGATCGAGTTGGAAGACTTTCTTAGTGATCCTTGTCGCTCCAAACTGGCCCAGAAGAGGGTGGTAGGTGGACATCCTCGGGATGCTCGCAGAATCTCCATGGCCACTTTCAGACTGACTTGTTTCTCAAGATCAGTCGCTGGCTTCATGGCTTGGCTGCTGGAAGCCCAGGTCCTGAGGAATAGAGGTCTGATGAACTCTGTTACCCCAACCCTTTTACAGATCAGGAAGTGTACCATTGTGCTGGGAAGGCTTGTCAGCCTGATGTGAACAGCTGCAGTTTCATACTCAGACTTACTCTGTGGGTTGAATGTTAGCCTTTCTCCAATCTGGACTGGAGAAATAGTTAGCCCTGAGTACGCTCAAGGGATAGATATTAATATTAACCATCCTATTTCTATTACATGGTCAAGACTTATGTTCAAGGGGTCACTTATGTGGCTCCTCCTAGATACACTCCAGTGTTGCTGTCAGACATTAAACTTACATGTAAGGCTGTTTTCATTATTGCCATCACCCCTGCTAGGAGAGTTTTGGGGTTCGCTGCTCTTTCATGCAAGCCTTTGTTTCTTGTTCTTCACAAGGATACAGCCGTTTTTAGACCAAAGGATTGCTTTCTGCCTAAAATAGTGTCCTCTTCTATCTGAACAAGGATATTTCCTTCATTTTTCCTACTCTGATACATCCCAGGAAGGTGGCTTTAGATGTGGTTAGGGCTGTCTGAGTATCTTTCCATTACAGCTTTCTTCCAACACTGGCATTATCTTTGTCCTACCTAAAAGGACCTTACATGGAACTCCTTGCATCTCATTCCGCCTTTTTTAGGTGGATTAGACAGGTCAACGTACTTGCTTTCTTTGTCAAGGGTAAGAGTTTGCATTGTCCCTGTAATGATTCACTTTACTAGATATGTCAGTACCACTTGGGCTTTTAGGCATCAGGCATCTGCATTACAAATTTGTAAGGGCACCACCAGGTCTTCTGTTCATACATTCTACCAGGCAGATATTTCTGCCTCTGCTGATGTGAGTTTTGCCCACAAGATGCTACAGGCTGCTGTCAGGGTTAGGGTTTTCCCTTGTTTTTTTTCTGTTATAGGCCTCTTGGCAGTTGTTTTTCTGTGTGCCCAGCTCTCAGGGCATTGCTTGTGGATGTCCCAATCATCTATGAGTTGCCTGTGTTCTGTACTGTATGATCAAGAAAGCAGAATTTTTTGAAGTGATTATTAACCTTGGTGGTTTTAGCATGCAGATATGGCAAGGTAATCTCTTTTATGATTTACCCAATGTGATCTATCTATACAGATGATGAAAATGCCCACATGTGAAAACACATAACAGAAGTTTTGTGAACTAAACCCTATTTCCAAAGATCACCATTATGCTAACAATTCTATACATTAAACAATCACTGCAGTATTTTTGGCTTTGAGCATTTACTCATATCATCTTCATTGCATTTTAAATATATTTATTGTTGCCTGTGAACATACACTGTCAAAAAATCCATCATGGTGAATGTGACTGGTTTCCCAGAATTTTATAAATATGCTATGCCATTCATTCAGTAAAGCATGTATTTCATTTTTAAATGTTCTTTTAGTGTCTTAAAATAGAAATATCTATATATTTATAGGTGATTATTTCAACAGCCATCTCCGGTAGTTTCAACCTTCCTGAAAAGTATCACATGGATATTGTGGGACAGATCCCTTTAGGGTATGTAATTAAACTCTATATTGGTAAAGCAATACAAATGAATCAGGCATACATGTATACTTCCCATCCTCCTCACT